AGAATATAAATATTCAGGACCAGTTAGTTTGAGTTTCTTGATTGATGCCCCAGGGCTTTGTTTGAATCTCAGGATGAATGGACTCTTTTTGACATGATCATCCAGCACATCTTGAGTGTGTACACCCACAAGCTCATATGCAGCAACTGGGATCTCTTGGCAGATTATAATCCTGAAGGGAAGGCCACTGAGCAAAAACAAGACATTGAAGGTTCTGGAAGCAAAAGGCCCAAGGTGGAGGTATCTCACGAGGAGCTAAAGGTCCACATCAGCAAGGGATGCTGGGTAAGCTGACTATGCTGAAGGAGGCCTACCTACAAGGTGTAAGGGCTGAAGGGCAGGCCAAAGAAGGAGCTGCAGGACGTAACCACCTGTCCTGCCCTCCCACACTCCCCAGGCTGCCCTGTGTACCTGCAGCCATGGAAAGTCTTGCTGGAGCCAGGAGCGGCCCTGACAAACCGTTGTGAGACTATTGTCCTGGAGATGTGTGGCCCTTCACTTGCTGTGCCTTACTTTCTTGTCTGAATGAAAAACCCTTCATTTGTACCCCAAACAAACAAAACTCCTTTCAATTAGGGTTTTTAAGGTTGTACCCATTGTTTCTGACTTCTAGTTCTGCTGTCCCACCACTTGTCTGTCAGTTCGTCATTCTGTGATGGCTTGAGTGTTGCTGTGAGGCTGGAAGGTAAGTCATTGGTATTTCAAAGGCCATCCGGGTCACCCAAAGTAACAGGCTTGAGCAGAGCTTCCAGACTGAGAACAGACATGAGGAAGGACTTGCCTGCCTACTTTGGAGGAAGTGGCCACTGGAAACCATTTGCTTAGCTTGGAAACATTGTCAAATACTAAAGAACTCATGACTGGAAGCAGAACATGGTCAGAGATGGTGCTGGATGAAGGCTCCCTCACAACAGAGGGCTCTTGAAGTGTCACTGAGAAGGAGCTGCTTTTCTGGAGTAGATTGAACCATGATGACATCAGGGGCGTAAAGCCTGTAGGAGTGGTGCCTTTACGAGCTCCATTTGCTGACCGAGCTTGGCTCACGGGAAGAAGCAGCTGCAAAAATCTGCTACTGAATGCGTGACGTATGAATCTAGGGAAATTAGAATTGTCAAAATCACAGGAAACACGGAGACTGATTAGTGAGCTGAAATGGACTGGCATTGGCCATTTTGAATCAGAAAATGACACAATCAAGAGGAATCGTATTAAATTTATTGTCAGAAAAGAGACTTTAAAATCAATCTTGTCTGTGATAGGATTATATCCATCTACCTTCAAGGAAATCCAATTAATACAACTGTTACTCAAATTTCTGCACCAACCACAAAAGCTAGTGATGAAGAGATCAAATACGTGATTCAAATGTATTGATAATTATTGGTGATTGGAATGCAAAAGTTGGAAACCGAGGAAGGAAAATATGATCTCGTTGATAGAAATGAAGCTGGATATTGCAAGATAGAAGATATTGTACACCCAACGACTTGCTCATAGAAAATATCCTTTTTCAACAACACAAAAGCCGACTGCACACATGGATTGCTCCAGATGGAGTACACAGTAATCAAATTGACTACCGATGTGGGAAGAGGCGACAGGGATGGTTAATATCAGGAGCTAAAACAAGGCTAGGTACTGTCTGGAACAGACCTTCAATTGCTCACTTGTAAGTTCAGGCTAAAGCTGAAGAAAATGAAAAAAGGTCCATGAGAGCCAAAATACGACCTTGAGTCTATCCCACTTGAGTTGCAAGAGCATCTCAAGAACGTATTTGACACATTGGGCACTGATGACGGAACACCTGATGAGGACGGCCAGAACATCACTCATGAAAAAGCCAAGGGTCATGCAAAAGCCAGGAAAGAAAGAAAAGATCAAAGTGGATTCTGAAACTTGCTTTTTATTGTAGAGTAGCTAAAGTAAATGGAAAAAGAATGAAGTCAAAGAACCAAATAGAAAATTCCAAAGGGGCAGCTCGAGAAGACAAAGCCAAATATGATAATAAACTATACAAAGACCTAGAGTTAGAAAACCGAAAAGGAGCGACACACTCAGCATTATCTGAAACTGAAAAACGCAAGTAAAAATTCAAGCCACAAGTTGAAATGTTACAAGATTCTATGGGTAAAAGATTGAATGGTGAGAGAAGCATTAAAAAAAAGGGAAAGATTCCAGCACCTGGAATAAAACCCACCTGCCAGCTGGAAAAAAAAAAAAAGGGAAAGAATCTACAGAGTCGCAGTACCAAAAAGAACTAGCTCCCATTCCACCATTTAAGGAGGTAGCATATGAGCAAGAACCAATCTTGTTGAAGGTAAAAGTTCAAGCTGCACCAAAAACAGTCGTCCAAAACAAGGCTCCAAGAATTGATGGAACCCCAATGGAAATGTTTCAACAAGCTGCTGAAGCACTGGAGGCACTCACTGGTTTATGCTAGAAAATTTGGAAGACAAGTTACTTGCCCATCTGACTGGAAGGGATCCATATTTGTACTCATTCCAAAGAAAAGTGAACCAACGGAATGCTCAAATTACAGAACAAGTTCACTGCTACCACATGCAATAATGGTTGCAGCAGTACGGCGACAAGGAACTGCCAGAGGTTCAGGCCGGACTCAGAAGAGGATGTTGAACAAGGGATATCATTGCTCATGTCAGATCGATCTTGGCTGAAGTCAGAGAATACCAGAAAGATGTTTACTTGTGTTTTATTGACTATGCAAAGGCATCTTGACTGTGTGGGTCATAGAAATATGGATAACCTTGGGAAGAATGAGTATTGCATAGTTTACAATCAGAAAAAGGTGTCCTTCAGCGTTGTATCCTCTCATCATACTTATTTGATCTGTATGCTGAGCAAATCACCAGAGAATCTGGTTTATAAGTTGAAGAATGGGGCATCAGGATTGGAAAAAGGCTTATTAACACCTTTGATATGCACATGACATAACCTTGCTTGCTGAAAGTGTGCAGGAGTTGAAACTTGAAGATAGGATTGCAGTCTTCAGTATGAATTACAACTCTCTGTGAAGAAGGCCAAAATCCTCACAACTGGACCAATAGGTTATAGCTTGTCATCATGGTAACTGGAGAAAAGGTTAAAGTTGTCAAGGATTTTCTTACTTGGATCTACACTCAATCCTCAATGAAGCAGCAGCCAAGAGATCAAAAGACACAATGCATTAGATAAATTTGTGGCACATCACGGACTGCCTAAAGGGCATACCGATCTTTCTTGGAAGAAATAGGGCCAAAGTGCTCCTTAGGAGCAAGGATGGCAAGACTTCATCTTACATACTTTGGGTGTGTTTTCAGGAGAGACCAGTCCCCGGAGAAGGATGTGCTGCTCAGTGAAGTAGAGGGGCAGTGATGGACAGACATCGTGACTGTAACAATGGGCTCACGCATAGGAAGAATGTGAGACTGGCAGCGTTTTGTTCGGTCGTGTATAAGGTAGCTATGGATCGGAAGGAACTCCATGGCATCTATCAACAGTTCTGACGCTGAGAAGGTGCCCCCACTTTTTCTTTGTCAGTTGCATGTAGTTCATTTATGCTCTTTGGAAACTTTTGGGAGCTATATTCTGTCTTCAGGATCCCGAAGTTTCATGAAGATGTTTTTTGATGTGGATCTGTCATCATTCGTTGAATTTCTCCATATTTATTTTATTTATTTCATAGAAGTTAAATCATACAGTATTTGCCCTTTGTAACAGACGTATTTCACTCGGATGATGTTCCCAAGGATCCTCCGTGCTGTGGCATGCATCAGAACTTCCTTTATCCTCATGGCGGAGGAGTTTTCGATTGTACGTGTTTGCGACGTTTTCTTCGTCTGTTGTTGGATATTTCCGTTGCTTCCACCTTTCCACTATTGTTAAAAGTACCGGGAAGCACACTGGTGTGCAAGTTTCAGTTTGCGTTTCTGCTTTCACTTCTAGTTATGTTCGAGGATTGGGATTTCTGAGTCCTAAGTGTGGTTTACAGGAAAACTTGTCAGTTATTTGGTCTTGCTGTAGCTGATCCAATGGAAACCCAACCATCTCCTGACTCTGACAAATCAGCTTCTCCAATGAGTCTTTACCACCCGGAACATGGCGATGGTGAGAGCCTGGCTGCCACACTGGAGCTACAGGTGTAGAGAAAGGTCCCGGGACTTTGAATACCAATTCAGAAGGTGAACTTTTGCTTCCTCCCACTCCCTGCCTTTAGTTTTGTTAGTTTTCTTAAGCTTTCTCTAATTCGGAAGTCCTCAACCTAGAGACTCTCCTTTCATTTTTGTAGAGGCTGAATTTTCGGTGTCCTGCTCGGATAGCTGCATAGCTGGCTGCATGGAAGGGGGATACTTGGAGATCTAAGTATTCCTTATTCATTCTTCCACTGCGCCTGCTCAGTTGATTCCCCACTGGGGTGCTTTTTTCCCTAATCCTTTTGGAGATTCCACAAAAATGAATGCTGCATCTAGCGAGCCCAGAAGGATGTGCCCATCCCCCGCTTCACTGTATCATGCCCAACCTGTGCTTTGTCAGCTGGCAGGTTTTGTCTCCCTGGGTGTGCCCCCTCCCCTGTCGACTGCAGGAGTGCTTACCTTGAATGATTTGATATGCTATGATTCTCAGAACTGAACAGAATCGAGCATAGTTACTTAATCAGGAGTGGACACTGTCTTTGTTTTAAAGAGGAGCAGAGTGCAGGATATGTACTCCTGAGCACACACTCTCTTAGTGCTATTATGAACCTTCTCTACTCTGTGACAATGATGTAACCAGAGCTCTGGAGGCCAGCTTCCAAGGGCATGGTGGCAGATTGTACTGTGGTTGGGGGTGGTTCTAAAGGCCTGGAAGTTGTTCCCACACATCACAGCCTTACCTTTCTATGGAGGAGTCATTAATGAGTTTTTTCTCTGCTTGGTTTATTTTTCCCATCTTTAGCAATATTGCCAAGTATGTGGTGGGTGGAGGAGATAATGTGTGTTGACCTCTCATGTGTATCTGGTTAGATTTGCAGCCTTATGAGGGGGGGCATCGCAGAGCGAGGTGGTGTCCGAGTTGGCCATCGCATCATCGAGATCAATGGACAGAGTGTTGTGGCCACAGCCCACGAGAAGATAGTCCAAGCCTTGTCCAACTCTGTTGGAGAGGTAAGACATGCCAGTTCCCACCCACCTTCTTCACTGGACAAACTTGGTCCAATTAAGAAGTATATGAAGTGCTAAGAAAAGGCATCAGTCCTACTTGGAGCAAGTCTGCACTTCTTAGGTGCCTGGGGAATGTGTCTTTGTCAATTTGACCTATGCCAGCCAGCCTTTCCAGTGGCTACTGAACAGCAGTGTAGCCGGCCAGATGATGTCCCCACTAGAGAGTGCCCATGACAAGATGCACAGAGTTGTAGGGTGCATTCTGCCCTTGGCTCTGACTCTATATGTAACTGTGTGGTCAAGCCTTTCAGTAAACAGGTAAACAAAGGCAGGCAGGTCGATCTCTTTCTAGGATGTTTCCAGAACTGGCTTTACCAAATAAGAAAGTAACACAGCCAAGCAAAACTAGCAAAATGCAGAAGTCAAAACCACATTCCTAGTACTAATGGTGCACTTACACTAGGAATGAGAATAGGTCCTTGCACAAACACATTTCAAGAACTCAAAATTATCTTGTTAGCAGACTTACATGAGGAAGGGGCTTTGTAAGGTTAGGCAGCAGTGGGACTGAGATTGAGGAAGCACAGGAGCTGTTAGCCTGGGCTGGGTCAATAAAGTAGATTTTGCCCTGAATCTCTTCATTGGGAGGGATCCCCCTGTGCAGACACACAGTTTTATGAACGAGGTGAAAGGTGACTCAGCCTTCCAGGAGGGTGATCTCTCTGAGGTCAGGAGGAAACAGAATTTCTGCTAAGGGCAGAATCACCTGTCTGGTGATTGATTGTACAAACACTATTGTACAGCTCTTTGTTTTAAATTCAGCCTTCATGTAGCTCAATTTGTAGTTGGTGCTTCAAAAGAAACAAGAAGGGGCATTTAGTAAGATAAAGCAGGTGGGTAAGGTTGGGAGGTAAAACAGGGGACATTGAAGCTGAGTTTTCAAGGAAACCATCGTAGCTTAAGGTACAAGGCCGAGGCAGCCAGGTTAGAGTGGGTAAAGGGACCAGTGAGTTCAGTTCAGGGGACCTTGGAAAGCTGCCAGGCAGGGCTGGTCTAGAAACTTCAGTGAGGAGCTGGGAGTGTATTCTAGACCATGGAAGCCTTGAGTTTTAGGCAGGGAAGCTGTGGGTATACCATGTATTCCAAGAGATCTTAGGGGCAGGGTCTGGGGTGGAGATGTGTAGGGATGGATGGAGGGCACCAGGTGGGAAATGAAGTAGGGACCTCAGAATAGATGACAGGGCTTAAGGGGTGGGGAGTTGAAGAGGTGAGACGCGAGGATGCTTCCCCTCAGGCTTCTGTCTACCCGTTCTTCTCCTTTGGTGGAGTTATGCTGCTAACTGGAGTTTTTCTTCTTTGGGCTGGTCGAGGAGTTAGGGGGTGTGGTGGAAATAATGAGGGCCATCTGGGGTCAATGCCTTGTCCCTTCCCACAGCAGCAGTGCCACTTCTGACCCTGGAAAGGGTCTGGGTTACTCAGCAACCTGAACTGTCAGCTGATCCACGTGGTCACTGCCCACATGTGGATGAGTCACTCAGACTGACACTCAGGGCACTTTTCAGCTGGTCATGGGGGGTGGGGTGGGGACAGGGATGGGGGTGGATGCCCCTATGTTCAGCCCATTCTTCACCTTGACAGATCCACATGAAGACAATGCCTGCTGCCATGTTCCGGCTTCTCACAGGACAGGAGACCCCTCTCTACATCTAGGCCACAGCTTCCCGGAAGGAGGCTCACAGCCAGGTCTAGAAGTGCTGGCTTCTTGTCGACAACCGGATGCCAGGACAACCGGATGCCAACCGTGAGCCACAGCCTAGAAGGACCGCCAAGGACTGTCATCCCTGAGGCTGTGCCTCCATCTTCTTTTTTTTTTTTTCAAGAAGGGGTATGTCTCTTTCAAAGGAGGGTCACAGAAACAATGCCTTTGTAAAACATTAAGTATTTTGCCACATAGGAACTGTTTCTTCATAGCAAACTGACGAGGGTGTTGTGTGCACTCTGTGTGGTGTAGCGTGTGTGTCTTTCCTCTTTGAAGCTATAGTGAGTGTGTGTCTGACAGATGTAGGTGAGGACATGGGGCCACTGGAAAGCCCATGACTGGCCCTTCTGCCCCTCCCGCTGATCCTCCAGGGGCCCCCAACTGTCCTAGGTAGGTAGATCTTGACACCTTGACAGTACACCCTCCAGAGTTATAATTAAAGTTTGGGAACATGTGACTGGTTGTCATTATTTAATAAGAAAGAAGGTGTTCCTGAGTTAAATAAAGAACGATGACAACATTAAACTCCAGGTTTATTTAGATAATATTGCTGTTTTTTAAATTTTAATTTTGACAAATTGTTCTTTAGACTGAAGGGGTTTCAGATGATCCACGATCACATTCGCTACTCCTCTCCCTACCTGTAGCCTACGTAAAGTTACCTGGGCACTCTTGTCCCCCACCCCCAAGGCTTACCACAGGGCAGCTCATTCTTCTTCCCAGGCACATGGAGAGCATCCCGTGTCTGCTCTTGAAGTAAAATCTCTACGTGCACATCCACATCCACGCTGCCCCAACTAACTCCAAGACAGAGAATACACACAACCGCTGCCATTCCCCAGGGAGCAAACGATGTTGTCAGTGCCTAGGTGGGCAAAGCACTGTCACCACTAACAGTATTCGCATGTGTGGTGCAAGTAGCACATAGTCTAGTGAAATTCATTAGAGGTCAATGTTAACTAATACTATTTTGTCTGGAGTCCTTTTCTTTGGCCCAGGCTGTGAAGAATACACTGTGACTTAACCAGCCTTACCATGCAGTAAATAAAGCTCTAGGATGACTGTATCCAAGGAGTAACCATGTGTTGCATGCAGCTGACCTTAGGAAGACTTCACCAATATTGCTAATAAACCTGAAGTCCTGATGATGAGGCGTCCATGTGGCTGGTTTGTTCACTGGAAGGAAGGGTGCCATATCGTGCCCATAACTCCTCACCTTTGCATGAGGTTCTGCAGGGATGCCTTTTGGCAGCAGCTACTCCATGGGTCCTCCATGAAGTTCAAGGGGTAGTGTTTATATTGCAAGTGCTAGGTCCTCCACCCCTGAGCATCTTGAATGTTGCGCTGGTGCCAGGTTCACCAGGTGTGCCCTGGGTCCTCCTATCGACTGCTCTTGGGAAGTAAACACTGCTTTCATTGAATTTGGGAGATGGAAACCCATTGCTATGGAGCAGAATTTATATCACCTATTGGAAAGGTGTGTGTATCAGTGTGAGTGAATGTGTGAAAGTATCCGTGTAAGTGATTTGCATGTGGCTGTCCATGTTAATGGGTACATAAGCTACTTCCATGGCCACTGACTTAAAGTGGTGCCTCCTAGGATAGGGGGGCAGGGAACTAAATGGGTCAGAGAGCTGGACACATTACTCAGCTTGTGAGCTTGGGGATCCTTAGGGAAGTAAGACTCTTTCTCTCTGGTTTGGTATGAGGGGAGTTCAACAAGTCTGTGGGGGAAATCGAATTAGAAGATAATGGAATTTTTCTGTGAATTTTTAAAAGTCACCTCTGACAAGTGACCTGTCCCTCAGCCCATGATTGCTGATCCAGCCTCCAAACCTGAGATCCAGGTCAATCTGACAAATGAGGAGAGTTCTTCCTTGCTGCATGTCCTCAGATATGGAGATTAAAAACGCATGTATACTCGGTGCTACCCAACAGTAACAAAGAAGAGACTCTTTAAAAAAAACACCACACCAGTCTGTGCTGACCTTAGTATGTTTTGGAGACAGCAGGCATGCAGTCAGAAACCCGGGGATGAAGGACACGTGGGTATGCATGTTTGCAAGCACTCCTATCCCCCACTTGTTCTCGCTTTCTGATTCTGCTTGAGAATGGAAAACAGAATAAAGCCCTTTACTTTGTCAAGAAACAAAAGCTATGAGCCAAAGATGATCCATAGCCTTGGGGAGAGAGGCCTTCTATCAGGAAAACCAAGGATGTATAACAAGGGAAGGGAGAAAATTCCAGAGAGGAAATATATGATAAAGAAGAGAAGAGGGAGTAGGGCTCCCTACACATAAATGGTCCCCATTACAACGTCCAAGTGGAAGGGCACTAAGCCGTCTGTTACTCTCACCTTAGCCAGCAGCAGGGATGGCCATGTTGCCCGGACCTGAGCTTGGAAGGCATGCTGAGAAGGCTAGAATGCTACTGAAACCCCACAGACTGGGTCTCTCGTGGCCACTTGAAGGCAGAACCCCATGCTTTCAGCCCTATCTCCATCTGATGAGCCCCAGAGACGCCAAGGACAGAAATACCTTTTATTAAAACACCACTGCTTAAAACAATTTGAGGCATTAAATAAATATAACCTTCAAGTTGTACAAACAAGCCTGTGACTTGAAAACAATTTCCTATAAATTTTGCTTTTGAATCACTACAGTTGAGGGAGGGGAAACAAACACACACGAAATGAGCTTTTAAGCGATTTGTTAGAAGCATTTCATTTGTATAGTCTTCAGACTAAATGAAGACCTATACCCTTATGAGCAATACGTCTCCTCACCTCATTAGCCACACTCCACAGCTCCCAAGCTGGGATCAGACAATGGTCTGGAAGGGGTCCATTCTTCAGATAGAGGTCCTTGTACCACTGCTTCCTAGGGAGGGCTTCTGCCTGGAACGGTGAAGGCCTCCGTGCCGCTGTGGGGAGGGACAGCCAATGATGGAAAGAGAACTGTGCCTGCAGACAGGCCGTTGCAGATACTAAAACACGGAGAGGAGAATAGGCCTCTGGGTCGGCAGAAGTGGACATTAGCAGCACTGAGCTGTTTGCACTGGACATGGGGGATGGAGACCGGGCTCTGGTTGTTGCTCCTGAGGTTTTAAGGTACCTCTGAGAAGGCTGGGGCACCAGGTTGGAGGGTGAGATAGGCAGTCATTCCCTGGTGATCATCATCTTCACCGCTCTCTCTTCTGAAATATTTCTGTCAACCTAGAGCCTGGGGCTCATGTGGCCCCCAAACCCTGAGAAGAAGGCCAAGTTACAACCCAGCAGATGACAACCAGGTAGGTTCCTCATTTGTAAGGTGGAATAGCCATGAAAACAGATACGCAAATGGATGTGAGGGGGCTGGAGGAAGCAGAGAACCAGAGATGTTACGCAAGTGACCGAGCACATCTCCACCATGTGCTTGTGCGAACGACAAAGCACAAGCTGGGAACAGAAGGCCAGGCTGAGACCCTGGAGGCCTGCCACCCGGGCCATAGGATAAACCCTGGGGGTTGAGTCAACAAAGTGCAGCCAGGTCTGAGAACTCCAGGTTCAATCCCCAGGGGCTCAGCCAGCCTCCAAATAGGAAGAATCCGGCCCAGAGACTCAGAAAGGATACAGAGCCCCACGAGGCTGAACATGCAGTTCTCAAAATCCAAGTTTGCTTGTGAGCTTAGGGTGGCACAGGGGGCTCGTTACTCTGACTTTACCTGCACAGGGACTTTGTTTTTCAGGATATTCAAAACTCTGTTGAGAACAATTAGAAAATGGGTTTCCTTTTTAATAATCTGCATACATTCATCATATAATACTCATCTCTAGGATATCTTAATGGTAAAGTTCTACTTTGGTCAAAAGACTTGATTTCTACTGGTGTTAAAATCTCTGGTTATACACTGGCCACACTCCCACACCTCACACCTCAGCTCCTTCCCACCAATCCCGGGTTGGAGGAAGGCTCCCAGTTTCTAACCAGAGGATCACAGCACTACATGTTAGCTAAAGGGGGCTGGAGGCGGAGGATGGACATGAGGACAAGCACAGGTTGCCCAGAGCACAGGGAAGGCTGAGCAGGTGCAGCTGCTAGGCTGGCTGGACAGCTGGGAAGTGTGGGTATTCACCTGGCCCTCCACCTGCACTCCCAGTGGGGCTTTGATCTCCCAGAGGCACCCTGGTAGGCCTGGGTGGCTTTGTACATGTAGGAGATTTGAGCCCAGCTCCAGGACCCCCTCATCCTCTGTGCTGCTGGTTCCTGTTTGACAGATCCGACACACACCCATCCCTATCACTGTCGGGAGCTCTTAGGGATGTTGCTGACATTTCCAGAACATAAGGGGCCATCTCAGAGGGGACTGGAATGGCTACTCCTCTATCACTACCACACTGGCTGTTTTTACAAAAATAAATGATTAAAACTTATATCCTCCAATGCAGACAAATTTGTTGCTGTCATAGATGTGGAGAGGCTGCACTGGGTCATCTGAGAATTGTTTTCAGTAAGTCACCTGTCCTAGAAAAATGGCCTTGTTTCCCTAGATATTAACCTTCTCCATTGCTAATTGGTCATAGGCTAGGGACCAGGGAAACTCCCAAATTACCAGTGGGTTAGAGTAGGTGCTTATGATATGGAAAAAAATAATAACGATGGAATTTTGTTCCCCACTCCCAAAACCCACAGGCCTGCTGGCAAACCTAGACAAAGCTGTAGAGTATAGCAATCCTACACAAACTAGAACTCTCCCCATGCTTTTTGAGGCTGTCAACTTCTTTGCAAAGCCTCGTCTTTCTCCAGAGGAGTGAGGGGGGGTTCAAGCCATCAACTGTTTGGATAGCAGCCCAACATTTAACCCTCTGCACCACCAGGTCTCTCCCCCAGAACCCCCAAATTAGTTAAAAGTTGCGAAGGAGAGGCAGAAGAGACCCCAGAGCAAAAGTGGTGAAGGTCGGAGGTTTGTCAAAGCCCCTTGGCACACTCCTCTGCTTCCTGCGGGGCTTCAGGCTACCTAGGGGTCAAGTGCACTACCTAGGGGTCAAGGTTGTACACTGCTTGATACAACAGCCCTGAGAGCACCAAGCTGGGCCCAGGCGACCACCTCTGTTAGAATGGCCTTCTTTAAAATTAGACCATGATAAAAATTTAATTATAGAGCGATGAAACACATAAGGAGATAGTCTCATGATGTCAGACTCCACGCACTGATTGGGGCACTTAGTTACTAACCAAAAGGTTGAAGGTTTGAAGCAACCAGAAGTGCCTTGAAGGTAAACAAAGCTGGCAATCTGCTTCTGCAAGGTGACACCCTGGAACGCCCACGGGCGTCGTTTTATTCTGCACACCGAGGGGCACCGTGAGTCCCCATCAACTTGATGGCAAGTTACATTTCTTATCTTCTGGAACAGGTAGAAAATGTAGTCAATGAGAAAACAGTGGAGCAGTCCACCTCAAGAGAGGGCACAAGAGCCCCATGTCCAGGCTGCTTGGTGGTGCTCATGGGCCCCTTGTTCTCTGTCAACTCTGCAGCTTGCAACATGAACACATGTGGCACTAGGTGTGCCCATGTTGGTGTGCAGGCTCCAGGGTCCTTCACGCTTGATCCAGAACGTTGGCATTGAGGATGGGTTCATCTGTGTGGCACTCGTCAGAAGCAACCACTGTTTGGATGGCACATGCCACATGCCGCACCTCTGCCGGGAGAGCACCATGCGTGTGCTCTAGGAACTTGGTCACCAGGACCCGGGTGTCCACGTAGGCCTGGCTGTCTGCCAGAGAGTGAGGCTGCTGCTTGGGGAGGAGCTGGGAGGCCTCGGCCTTGAACTGCTGGCGAGTTGTCCAGGCACCGCGTTGTTCTCCTGGGGGATCAAGACGATGCTGGCAAGAACAGGCAGCCTCGGCAGAGTGAGTGGAGTGAACTAGTAATAAAGGAGAAGATATTATTGCAAACCAGCAAAGTCTCGGCAGCTGGCTATTAAAAACAATTTTTAGAATTCCAATGGAAATGTGCTCTGAGACAAGCACTCTGGATGCGGCCCTGCTTCCTGGCCCCTTCTCTATGCAGCCTCAGGGGTCATGGTCTCCCAGAGGGGCACAATGCAAGGGAGACTACAGAAGGGTGGGGTAGGGAATGGTCCCCTCCCATCTGCTACTCCACTGGAACCCCCAAGCTAAAATGTCCCCTCACAAACCTCCTCATGCATATGGAAACAGGAAGCCCTGGTCCACTCGCGGGACCCTGCTTAGCCTTCCCTAACTCACTGACCTTTTCCTTTGGGGTTGATATTGCTATGTGACCACCCTGAAGGGCCTACTATACCTAGATGTGTAGATAGGAATGGAAGCCACCTCTCAGGAAATGGAGCTCAGAGCCTAGGCCAAGGCCATGAGGCCAATAGTCAGGCAAAAGGCACCGGGTCTCCAATCGGGTACCTTGACTTTTTTTTTCATTCACTGCCATCGAGTTGATGCCAACTCATAAAGACTCGAGGGCAGGGTAGAAGTGCCCCTGTGGATTTCCAGTCTGTAACTGTTTGTAGGGGTGGAAAGTCTTGTCCTCCTCCAGTGGAGTGGCTAGTGGCTTTTTACCTGCTGACCTTGAGGACCACAGCCCAACACCTGTAACCAATCTGCCACCAGGGCTCCTTCCCACCCCTGATGATCCACACTAAGAACGGAGGGCACAGAGGGCAGGCATTGGTGAATTACTCACCAGAGATGAATTAGTGCTCGACCTGCCCATACTCAGGTTCAAGTAACCCAGAGAACGGATTCTGGGTGGTCTGGGGCATTTTTGGTGTGCTTGAGCAAGCTTAGCAAGTACATATGAGAAATCATAAAAAGCAAAATAAAAACGCCTAATTTGGAGGTCAATCTACTCCCAACCAAATTCACTGATAAAGTGACATGTGGGTATTATATACAAGGAATGAGGTAAGTATTAATGTAACTATGGCTTCTAGTAGGTTCCCACCCAAAGAGAAGGGAAGTGCTTTTGTCATGGCCCAGAGAGTTGAATTACTCCCATTCCCGGGGAAACCTGGGAAGCTGGACTAGAAAACAAGACAAGCGATTCCCCACGCCGACACCTCCGCAGATGTCTGCGCACGCAAAGGGCGCTAGAAAAGGGGTCTCACCAGCGCCTTGAGAAGACTGGGGCGTGCCTGCGTCCAGATCTTGAATGCACCAAGGGGTGTGTGGGGAGGCGTCACCTGCACCAAAAAGAGAATTCCCTTAGGGTCTTCAAGGGAAACGGATTGACCAAACTAAAATGCCCCACCTGTTGCTGTAGCTGCGAACCACGCAGGAGACGACCCTGAGGCTATACTCACCTGCGCACAGGGAAAGCAGGTCACCCCTGTAGCTCTACATGTCGGTCAGTCACGTCAGCCTCCCTAGGTCTGACTCCCCACCCTCCCAGCCATGAGCCAAGTGTCACACACAAAATTAGTGCCATCATCTACAAACTCTGCCGTGTTTGCATTTCCCCGGTGATCCGGGAAGGCACAGATCTCCGATGTGTTGAAAAGTGAGTCTGCCCTTGTCCCAGAGACAGAAGCATTAGGCCAAAACCCAGCCGGAGAGATGTGAAGAAAATGGCTACCCAGTATTAACCATAGGAGGAACTCCTTAGAATTGACGCCTGCCGGCAGACTCCTCCTTATCATCACCATCCACACAAGACAGAGGAGCACAGCTCCCCAACTCACCTGACCGAATGTTCCAGGTCCCCGGAGCTAGTAAGCTTGGCTGACCAACTGAGTTGCATGGACATAACTCTGTGACCAGCCTGGGGCAGATATAAGCACACATAAGCTTAGCTTTCTGTCCAAGCCGTGGGAGCTCTATTCTGATCCCCTTGCAGCCCTACCTCCGGGTAAACAGGGACAACACAGCCTCTGGAGCTGGGTGAGAATATCTCTACAGGGCAGCCTGCAGCAGCATAAACAGCGAATAAGCTAACTCTCCACTCAGGGTGGGGGAGCTCCAGCCCCGCTCAACAACACTAATCCCCCATCCCAGGGGTGCAGCTCTGCACAGCCCCATGTTAAGACATCCCAAATGTCAGGCATTCATGGGCTTTTTATTCCACCCCCCCACCCCCACCCCTGCTCCCTTTGTTCACCTGGCCCATGAGCAAGGTATTAGAATAACATTAAAAGTAGAACACCAATAGACAGGGAACAGGAGCTGAGCTCATGGACCATTGAGAATTAGTCAATCTCCTGGATTCCAACCCTCCTGCCTGGCCTCCAGACAGTCTACGAACCTTACACATCCCTCAGCGGGTGGGTGCTCCTGGGCAGCCATCTACCCAGGTATAAGGGTGAAACTCCTGCCCCAGCTATTTTACATAGGCAGGGAGCTTGTGTGTGACACAGGGCGTAAGCCTGAGGCCCAGAGAGCTCTCCTGGATGGGACACTGGATAGACTGACCAATCTACCACTGTCTCAGGACACCAGCTCCTGGCCAGCAACACAATAGAGCATCCTAGATCACTTAGATAAACCACCTGCCCAGAGTAGGCCATTGCTTTATCCTTTCCTCCTAGACTACCTGCATAGGTGGTAGTTCTAGATCCCACTCCCCCACCCCACCCCATCGTCCCCAGAGAGCAAATCTCATCCCCTTTGAGCTGATTCACCAGAATTCTGGTCCTTTAAGATCATTCACCTAAACCATAAGAACATAAAACTCTTAGCACTACCAGACACCACAGTCTTTCCCCTTAAACTCAACCCCATCCTGTCATCCTAAAACATCACAAGGTGGTAGTAAAACAACATACGATCAGGTACTGTTCCCAACTGCTCAAAACACCTCTGCTCCAAAAGTCTTGATTAACCCCTGCCCCGTCCCCCCC